TCTCTTTTAGACATTGGAGCGCTCATACCTGCTGAAGATCAATGGAAAGGGTAAGTCGAGGAATTTACTTGCATACATATAAACAGTCGCATTGAGTCGAGGAATAATAGAACACTATAAAGAAAAGACTTGAAGGGGAAGGGGTAGATGAAAGAATTTTAATGAAAGAATGCATTTGAGTTGAAAAAGAGCAAAAAGACTGACCTGAATGATGGAAATGGAAAATGTTCCTATGACACTTTGACCACTTTTCCAGTTGCTGAGCGGCCACAACACATGCTGATGAGAGTGTCTGTGGGAATCCATAAGGAGGACATTGCGGCAGCTATAGAAACCTACAACCTGCTGTCTGAGAAGTGGTTCACTCATGCTTCTCCTACACTCTTCAACGCTGGCACCAACCGGCCACAGCTCTCCAGGTAAACAGCAGGAAGGAGAACATATAACCACTATCAGACACAAAGGGGCAGTTTTTCCAAAACAAATCTTTTTGGTTTTTGTCAAGGCCTGATTTTCATGTTGGCAAAGTCAGTTGACTTCTATACATAATGTATAATACAAGCTACTTGCTTTTGTCAAATGTCTAGTTGCTTCCTGCTTGCTATGAAGGATGACAGTATTGAGGGGATCTATGACACCCTGAAGCAGTGCGCCCTCATTTCTAAGTCTGCGGGAGGTATCGGGGTGGCAGTGAGCTGCATTAGAGCCACTGGCAGCTACATTGCAGGGGTGAGTTTTACTGGATTTACTGGTACTATTAAACTTAGCAGTTGTGTTGATTCAGTGTCTTGTTATTTTAGACAAATGGCAACTCAAATGGCCTGGTTCCTATGCTCCGTGTCTACAACAACACAGCACGCTATGTGGACCAAGGAGGAAATAAGGTAAGGCATTTTACATGTAAATTTCAGGATGTGGTTTAAATTTAGCTTGAAAAATTTTCTCAAAATTTTCTCTCCTCCTCACTCAGAGACCAGGAGCTTTTGCCATGTACCTGGAGCCCTGGCATTTTGACATTTTCGACTTCCTAGAGCTTAAAAAGAACACTGGTAAAGAGGAACAGAGAGCTAGAGATCTGTTTTACGCCCTCTGGATCCCTGATCTCTTCATGAAGCGAGTGGAGACCAATGCGGTGGGCACACTATAAACTATACAAAAAAATATTTGAGATGTATCTGGTTGAAAATTCAGCTTTGCCATCACAGGAATAAATGACATTTTAATACAGGGTTTGGCAACCTATGGCACGTGTGCCAACATTGGCACGCAGAGGGAAAATCACTGGCACACGACCAACCCCGGGAAACTGCATACCAATGTCTATTTTGTATCATTCCTCAGTCACACAGCCTGTTAGGAGCTATAAATACTATTAAAGTGAGAATTAACCTGCACCAGTCCACAGATGTGCGTGGCTAACAGTGCTTGTCAATGTCAAAATAATTGAGATGGGCAATCAAATCAAAGTAGGCCGAGGTTACTGTTCACAGAAGCAGAATGTGAATTCCAGTGCGAAGCATCAGTTTAATGTTGAAAAAGAGGTGAAATGGAAATTTGCAAAATGCAAATCATTTAATATCAGTCAAGTGTTTTACGATAGAATTGATAAGTGACTGACAGCTGTATCCAGTGATGCAAACTACTCTACTTTTTTTTTCTCAAATATGGCCATTATTGGCACAGTGGTTAACCAGAAAAATTTAAAATGGCACTTCATGCCAAAAGGGTTGCCGACCCGTTTTAATATATATTCGTATAGAAAATGTTTTTTTTTAACATTGGGAATATTTCAGGATATTAATGTTTTTACTTTATTTTTGATCAAATAAATGCAAATATATACATTATAAATTTCCCAAACTTTTGAATGGTTGCATATTTGTTTATGGTTGTATATTTATTTCCTTAACCAGTTGAGTTTAGTTCAAATGCTTAATTTTAAGCAAACTCATTTATGACTCATATCCCATGTAGGACTGGTCTCTGATGTGCCCCAGTGACTGTCCCGGGCTGGATGAGTGCTGGGGAGAGGAATTTGAGAAGCTCTACATAAAGTATGAAAATATTAGTAATGCTTCTACTATAAAACTGACTAGAAGTCTATTAATATTACTGTTTAATAATCCCATTTAATGATCTTTTGTTCCAGATATGAGCAGGAGGGCAGAGCTAAGCGTGTGGTGAAGGCTCAGCAGCTGTGGT